ATGTGGCCCCAGCACAGCCCAACATCAGCTAAAGCATCCAGTTGCCTGCAGGTGTTTTTCTGCCCCAGGAAGGGTGGAGTTGTGCTGGTTTAAAAATGACTGATTGCTCCTGGCAGTTGGTTGGTTGCATTTCCTAGCTTTGGTCTCTTCTGCTGTGCAGCAGCAGGCAGTCATCTTTCCAGTGACACATCCCAGTCCCCGATGTGGCAGGTTGCTTCTGGCCCCAGAGGAGCTGGGAAGAGCCAGCAAAGCCCCTCTGACATGGGCTGACACCAAACTCTGGAGACCTGGCCCTTCACAGTTGTTGTGCCTGATGTCAGTTCATTGAAATTGGGGGGTGATGATGGTGGGTGTCTGTAGGAAAAGAGTCTCTGAAGTGCATCTCTGGGTTTGAAGGAAGACAAGAATATGAAAGTTTTAGGATCCTCTCTGTTAGCCCACAATAATGACCTTAAATGTAAAAGTTTTATTGATTTTTTTTTTAGGTAGATTTTCTTTCGAAAATTGCATTCCCTCACCCCCCCCCCCCAATATAATTACTTGGAAGTCATCGCAATAAAACACACCTTCAGTGGGCCAGCCCAGACCCTGTCTCCCATGGTGTCACATCTCTCCCTCCTTTGCAACAGGTTTGAGATTTTAACCCTTTGGCTGATCTGCAGTGAAATGTGTTGAGCATTTCCAGGACACGAGCTTTGGAGGCATTCATCCCTTAGCATCCCTCCAGAGCGAGTATACCACAGATGCAAACTCCTGAGTCATGCTTGTTCTTTACAGTGTGGCATTTCATGCAGCTCCTGAGAGCCACAGGCAATTGCCAGAGAAGAGATTCCTCCCCTCCCTAGGTCTGGATCTTGGCCTGGGGCTGGAGAAGCTGGACCAGCTCAGTGCCTGGTCTCCAAATGCTGTGCCCAGCACCGGTTCTCCTACTGCACCTGGGACAAGCTCAGCTTTCCCCCAGCATCTTCTGCCCAATAGCCACATGTCCAGTGAGCAGCCACGACCCCAGGAGGGAGTTGCTCAGTGCTCCCACCACCCCCACTCAGTGTGGCATGCCCAGCCATGGCGTGACCAAGGCTACGAGGCTGCTCCAGAGACCTGACTGGAGTCTCTTGCCTGGGGACCCCTAAAACCCCTCATGTGAGCTCATCAAGATTGCTTTGCACCCTCTGGGGCTGGGCCTAGCTCAATGCCAGACCAGTCCCCACAGGCTCACAGCTGAGAGCTGTTTCTTCCCGTGTTCGTGCAGGGATGGCAGGGAGGAACCAGTCCTCACCCAGGAAATGGGGCAGGGAGGGCCCAGCGTAAACAGCAGGGTGATGCCTGCGCAAGGGGGAGCTGGCAGGGGTGTGGTGCCAAGCACCACAGAGAGGAAATCGGCTGGTTTGAAAGCTAACCTGAGCGCCGCAGAGGAAGGACATACCTCCCTGTGGTTAGTGCTGCCTGGCTGGGGCAGGGGCAGTGCGTTTACTGGCAGCTGGGCTGGGGCTGCTGCACTGTGACTGGAGAACGCAAATTTATCCCAAACTCTGCCGCTTACCATCATGTGCATCACTCCCTCCAGCTACTGTTTTTCCTCTCTGCCTGTAATACATAAGAATACTAAGCAGTTCGGGGCAGGGAACTGCTGTCTGTTTTCTCCTGTCTGCATCATAGCCTGGCTCTGGTACTGACCCACCGTCTGTCACAGAGCGAGAAGTGAAGTCAAATGGCCCTGGGCATCTGAGCTCGGAGCGTTGAGCTCAGCACCACTGGGATCAAGGAGAAAGCAAGACCCTTGCACAAGGCTACTGCAGGATACAGACTCGTGGAGACAGCTGCTGCTCACAGAGAGAAACTAGGGATCAGAGCACAGGGGGAGCCCTGGATTTGGGAGTAAGGATTTAATTAAACAAAACCCCCGATGCCCAAGGACTAGCACACAGGTTCACCCCTGCTCCCAGACCTCTCTGCCTGAGTTCATACAGCCCTGCTACAAGCCCACTGGCTCTTCTGATGTGCTGGAGACTGCAATGGGCAGTGAGAGAGGTATTTATTTGTCTGTTGGCTTGTTTATACCTACACACATACTTCGATTTTATTTCCAGGAACTGTTTCAGGGGTTTTCCATTCTCATACCGCAGCTCCCCCTCAAATACCTTCCTCCCAGCAACGCAGCCCCACTGCCTCCCTTCCGGGACACTTGCCCTGTCAGCTTGCCCGTGTGCCCCCAGCACAGGTATCCTGCTGTCAGCTTGCCCAGAGTCCCCCAGCTTCCAGCCCTGGCTGGGAGCAGTGAGACCTGTCCCAAGCAGACAGGGGAGGAATGGCTGGGAGGTTGTGCCTCTCTAACCTGTGAGCAGGGTGCCGGAGGTCACCTTATCCAAGATGGCAAAATCAGCCCAGCACCTGGTCGCCGGGCATGCTGCAGACAGAGGCGACAACAGCACCTAAGCGCTGTGCTAGTGCCAGGCCTGGCAGCACTGCCCGCACGGGGCATGTCTGCCATGAAGCAGCACCCTCACTGCTTGCCAAATGGGTTTTTAGGACAGGTCTTCCCCCTGATCCATTCTCCTTTGATGGGAGCCTTGGAGCTGTCTGAGCTTTTTAACCTGAAATCACACTCAGCAGGAAGCAAAGCTGGCATCAGATTTTGGACAGTTTAAACTACTTCTCACAGGCCTGCCTTGGGACTTGTAACCAGAGACTGCTCCAGAGATGGTGCTTGAGGATTAAGGGAAGCCTGGGTTTCTTCAGGAGACGTTCAGGGCCCTGAGGAGTTTGGCAGAGAGTGCCTCATGGAATGTGCACACAGACAGGGTTTTTGACCAGAAAAATCTCCCATAGCAGGACCAATAATTCAGGTGGAGTGGAGCGGGGTGGGGGGAGAAGGGTGCAGCACTGACCCTCCATGTGCTAGTTGTTCTCTTGCCTTTGTCTGTTGTGTTTTTTCACAGTTCCTGACTGCAGAATTTCCATCAGTTCCTGGCTGCAGTTACAAGCCCAAGTTTATCTAAACCAGGGTTTATTTAAACCAGATACCTGCAGAGAACCTGCAGTGACCTCAGACAGAGCTTCTGGGAGGACTCCTGCCTAGGTGAACCAGGGATTAAAAGGAAGTATTGCCCCCTACCTCCCCAGTTCTCCCCATCCTTTCAATTGCAAATTGTTCGTCTGCACATTAGAGGAATATGTTTTGGAGTAGCTGCTTTGCTTAAGAACAGCTACCAACTGCCCACAGCTTCACTGGGCATGAGAGGAGAGGAGGGCACTGCTCCAGCTTTAGCAGCTGGCATGCTGGCCAGAGGTCTCCCGGCCCTACCTTGCAGGTGCTCACACACGCCAGTGGCACTTCCACACTCCTGGGCTCTGTCCCTCTTGTCACATATAAGCACAGCCTCTGGGGATGAGTGGTGGCCGTGGCCAGGCACTTGCCTGCTGGTTTGCCCCTGAGCCAGACTTTGGTGCCAATGGGGCAAAGCAAGGGAAAGGGCTGGACTTCAGGGCTCAGAGGAAATTTCTGGAGGGCATCTGATGGAAGATTTAATCTTGACCAACACTCAAAATAGGAGGGATGAGGCTGGGTGCGGGAACAGTGCAGAACCTGGCTGTGCTCTCATGACAGTTTTTGTCCTTCTGGCAGCAGAGAGGCCTCGTGGCTCCAGTGCAGCATGCTGCCACCTCCTCTGTGGCCCCTCTGCTGTGGCTGTCCCCAGCCCCTTGGATGCTCTTGTGCTGGAGCAGAGTCCAGAGTTGTTGAAAGTCTGTGGGCACAGAAAAGTTATCCTTCCAGGATGCAATATGCAACCCCTCCTGAGCAGATCAGACACTTCACACAGCATTAACTCTAATAGATTTACACTTTGCTGTGGGCACCCAACTGCCAAGGCAAGCCCCAGGGAGTGAGAAACAATGCAGCAAACTGAGACAACTGGGCAGTGGGGAGAATTAAGGTAGATAAGGGCTAGGAAGTGTGAATGGGAAGGACAACTTTAAACAGCACAGGACTGTATAGCACAGCTCCCTCTGAGTTTACAGCCAGGGAGTCAGGCAGCTCTTCATACAAAGGACAGTCTCATTTGCCATCACAGGACAACTTAGGCAATTGGAGACCCAAAGATCAGAGGGAAAGAGCAAACAGCCACCAGCTAAGGCAGTGTGAGAGCCAGGAATAAGAAGAACGCAGGTGTCCTGAGCCCCAGGTCCGTGCCCTTGACACAAAGATTTGGTCACCTCTTTGAAACAGGGTCACCAGGGGCAGCCCAGTGGTGGCTTCTGTTCAGGACCACAGGGCCATGAAGGGACAAATGCAGCAGGATTGGTGCTCAGTTTAACATTTAACCAAATCACATTTTGCTAGGGGCAAGGTAAAGACAGCAATTGCAGCCTAGTTTGCAGGAAACTCTGGTCAGGGAAGGGGGAGAGCAGAGAATCCAGAGCAGAGTAGATGAGGGCTTCCCCTGGTCCCGTTTGAACAGATGTGCCAGTGGCCAGATGAGCTGCAGAGGGGAAACCATGAGGGGAAAGTGCATCTGCAGTCATCACGCTTGCCAGCAAAGCATGAAGTGACCTGACCGCCCCCAGGAGCCAGGTGCATGAGCTGCTGAAGGAAGGTACAGTATAAGAGAGCCTGATTGCCAGAGCGCAAAGACACCAGGCTTTGAAGCAGGTGGATGTGACCTGTCCTGCAGTCAAACTGTGGGAGAAATGCTAAATCACACCTCAAAAATACCCCAAGACACCTCTCCTGGTCAGCATCCCTGAGGGTTTGGGACTGTGGCATACCACGCTCTCTCTGCCCTGGCCTTTCTGTCCTGCTCTATCACTCATAAATCACAGCCTCAGGGCACGTGGGGCACGTGAGCAGGCTGGGGCAGCAGAGATGCAGATAGACCTGCAGGGATGCAGCACTGCTCTGATTAGCACAATCAGGGCATCACACATGGTTTCCTGGCTGCTGGGTACAGCTGGTCCCAGAGTATAAAACCAGCCCTTGGGCACTAGGAGACTCAGACTTCCACGCATCTTGGAAGGCGTGTCTTGCTGTGAGAAGAGATGTGCCAGCCCAAGCCACTGCTGGCCCTGCTGCTCATGCTCTCCTGCCCGTGGGCCAATGCCGGTAAGCTGGGGTGCCGCAAGCTGCTGCGCTTGAGGCTGCTGGTCTGGGCTCTGGCCTCAGCAGCCACTGGCTCATCTATCGTTAGGTGCTCTTCGGGGTCAGATTGTGGGCGGCCACGAGGCTCAGCCCCACTCCCACCCTTACATGGCATACCTGAAGATAGACATGTTTGCCTGCGGAGGCTTCCTGGTGGCCCCTGACTGGGTGATGACGGCCGCACACTGCCTGGGGTGAGTATTTCATATAGGGGCTTTATCCCCTTCTTCCTCCCCTAACCTATGAGGTCCATCACAGGAGTAATTTTGGAGTAGGTTCCTCTTCCTCCTGTGCTGAGCAGCTCTCTCCACTTGCCTGCAGAAGGGGAGGGACGTGGATGAGACCCAACCTGTTTTTCCCCTCTCCCCTCTGCTGCCACGGCCAGGAATACCACGGTCATCCTGGGGGCTCACAACATCCATGAACCAGAAGCGAGCCAGCAGGTCCGGGGCGTTCTCAGCTACCACCAGCACCCTGAATACGACCCCAGAACTGTATCTAATGACATCATGCTGCTCAAGGCAAGGCAGTCCTGCAGTGGGCGGTGGATCGGAGGGTCGAGCGGGGCTGTGGGTCTAGCAGGGTCTGGGCAGAGCACATCCTTGCTGTTAGCTCCTTCTGCAAACCATCAGCTGCTTCTGCCCATGAGTGCAGGAAACAGGCAGGAATGGGAGAGACCTGGGAGGGAACCCGTGGGCAGGGCTTGGAGCCACATGCCCCATTCACAGCAGCTCACCAGTGCTTACAGTGCTCTATGTCCCACCAGACCTCCCCTGCCTGTGCGCACAAAGCGTCCTTCAGCCGTCCTGCTCACAGCCTTCTCCAAAAACCTTGCTTTCTCCCAGCTGACAGCAAAGGCCACTCTCAACGACTATGTCAAGACCATTCCACTGCCTAAGACCAGCAGCGACCTCCCCACAGGCACCAAGTGCAGCATAGCCGGGTGGGGCCTGATCGATAATGACCAGGTGACCGACAAGCTCTTTGAAACCAAAGTCTCCATCTATAGCCGCAAGAAATGCATCCGCTTCTATCCACATCTCAACACCGGCATGGTCTGTGCCGGCAGCTTCCACGAGCTCAGGGATTCCAGCCAGGTATGGGCTGCTGACGGGCTGGGGGCTTGGCTCTCTCGTAGCAGGGGCTGCTGCTGGCACAGACCAGCTGGCTCCCAGGAGAGGTGGCAAACACTTGATTTATGGCTCCCACGTGGACTAGCTCCCTGGGTGCCCTGACACCACAGTCCCTGTGCAGTCTCAGGGGTAGAGCCCTGGCTCACCTGCTCCGGACAGCACCTCCAGCTCCGTGGGTGTGTGGGGCAGGAGCAGAGCCTGGGCAGGGAGGGACCAAGGTGAAACCTATTCCCACAGGGGAGAGGCCTCTAAAACCAGTCTCTCATCTCTCCTCAGGGAGATTCTGGTGGGCCCCTGGTATGCAATAATGTGGCACAAGGCATCGTTTCCTTCGGGTATGACACCCCACCTGGTGTCTATGCCCGCATCTCCAACTATCTGCCCTGGATCAAAAAAACCCTGAAGAAGTAGCAGCAGTAGCACTCGTTCTGGCATTGGCGCAGCCCTGGAGACTCTACTGGTTTCTTCCTGGCCCTGCTGAAGGCTTGGCTCCCTCCTCTCTCCTTGGGGACCTGAGTGACCTGACCAGTGCACACAAAGGTTCCCTTCTCTCTGCTCTGAGGCTGCTGGCTGTCCCCTTCCCTGCCCATCTCAGGCAGCCAGTTCAGGGCCATGTTAAACCACCCTGACAGAAGCAGGGATTGTCCCAGATGGCATCAGAAAGAGGCTGTGCTACAGCAGACCCCATTTCTCTCAGAGATAAGCCTGTCCCTGCTTGAACCCTGCTGCAGTTAAAATACCCACAGTAAACTCAAAGCTTCATTTCCCAGAGTGTGTCGTCTTTCTTGCCTCTTGCCCCACGGAGAAGGGAGGGTCAGTCTAGCTGGAGAGAGGTCAGCTTCTTGGACAGAGGCAGTCATAGCTCTGTGCCCAAGGAATTGCAGGCAGACTTGGAAGACAAGAGCTACAGTTGCCCTTCCTGGGACCATGGGGATGAGTGTGTTGCAGGCAGAGAAACTGCCTGGGTAGAAAAGGTCTGGGAAAAGCAATGTGCACACACTCCATTCACCAACTCCAGCAACGTCACCACCTTCCTGGGAACAGCTGACAGCCAGGACATGGTGTGTCAGCAGGTACTGGGGGTCAAAAGCTGCCATTCCCTGCAAAGTAATGACTGTCCCCTCTGCGGGGACCTCCTGCCTGGGTGATGTTGCACCCTAGGACACAGGGCAGCCAAAACAGCAGGCTGGGTCATGGGGGAAACCAGGCTAATCTTTTCAGCTGTTTGAGGCTGAGGCTCCAGCAGGTGAAGGGAACCAGACTTTTTGTGGACTGTGCTGTTTCTGACCTGCCTTGGGCACAGTGGCAGCTGAGATCCCAGGGACAGGGCTGTAGGGTCCCTGAGAGGAGACGTACTCCAAGTCCCTGCTGTTGCATACCAGTGCTTCCAGTCTTTGCCTCTGCCATCCTCCAGCAGCCACAGTCCTGCATCTCCTGAACAGCAACATGATGTCCTGGGTAGGGACATTGATATAGCCTCTGACAGGATTGTACTGAAAGGGTGGATAAAGGACGTGGGTTTGCAAAAGCACCTGACCCCATGCCACTTCCTCCTTTCCTCCCATGCCAACTACAGTGGGAGAAGGCAAGGGTGAGTCCGAGCTGGAGCTGTCTGCCTTGGAGCTTCTTGGCATGTTTCTGTCCCTCTCAGGAGGGCAAGCCCAGCCCCAGCAGCACAGCATGAGCAGAGACTGTTCTAGCAGTTGCACAAACCCAAAAGGGCTTCTGACTCTCCCCTCAGATGAGTGATGCTCAGAGATGAGCTGCTTCTCCCCACAAAGGATGTTCTAGCACCATTTTCAGACAGCCGCTGCACTAGTCTGAGTAACTTGCACCAGCCTCTGCTTCCAGGGTCTGCACTGGGTGTAAATCAACCCGCATAAACTCTAAGCCCTAGTCTCCTTTATTGCAGCTAGTTTCTGATGGCATCTCTCACATACAGGCAGGAGAGTACTAGACACTTCCCTGGAGGAGATGACAAGGGGTAGAGATGGGGCACTGGTGAATAACTGAGCTGCAGACCTCCCTGGTGCAGGATGACAGATGTCTGTGCAAGTTCCAGAAGTGATCAGACAGGTTTGCATCGGGGAAACCCAGTGGCAAATTTTAAACATCACAGAAACTGTGTGCAATTCAAGGGAACGGGATGTTTGCCCCGTTCTCATAGTCTTTCCGAAGCTCCCATTAGCCACCCCTGTGAGAGGGAGGAGATGGCCTGAAGTCCAGCCCTGGGCGTCTGCTCTTACGTTCTCCCTGTTCTTACCAGGGATGAAGGGAAACTATGTCACCTTTGACTTCAGCACCCATGCCACTCTGGGGAAACAGAAGCGTCCATGGTTTGGGCTTCTGCTAACAGCTGCTATCAGCCTGGAAATCTGCTGCAACTGCTTATCTGAGTAGTACAAATCTTTGTCACGTCAGGGTTTTCCTTGAAGCTCCAGCTGCTGCAGTCTTTGCACGAGAATGGCATCTTTTAGCTTAAAAATGCATTTTGCCCTGTGGCACGGGGGGGCAGATGGGAAAGCAAATTTACTGGCAGTCAGGTCAGTGAGGGCAGCAAGGACGTATCAGCCCCAGTTCGTCACAGCCAAAGGCAGGAACATCTCGCAGACATGCTCACCTTCCACCTCTCACCGGAGCCTGTGCACTGGTGCCAGCTGGGGGGCAAAGGGACATCCTGGGGGCCGGGGTTGGGGGGACTGTGCTCAGCTACCGCGGGGCCTGGTCCAGGGAAGACGGATCCCCACCATGCACTGCAGAAAGGCACCTTGGCACTTGTTTGGCATCTAAAAATCTCTGCCTGCCAGGGTGGGGTCAGCCCTGGCTACGATGCCCTTGGACATGACCCTTCCCAGAGGAACAAGACCAGCTCCAGGGAGACTTGTCATTGGGTTATCCCTGGCCAGTGAAGAGGCAGAACCCCAAACCTGTATCTCTGTCTCCATCCACCCTCAACGTGTCAGAAGGAAAGTGAGCCCTCACCCAGGGTCAAAGAAGAGTCTTCTTATCTCCTCTCACACTGCCTGGTGAGAGACAGCGAACTCCCTAATTTAATGGTGACCAATTACATCTGGAAAGAAACACATAAAATCGTGTCTTTTGCTGTACAAATCAGAGCCCTAAGTCAGCAGCTGGAGACCTTGTGGCAGCAGCAACAGTCACACTGCTGTGGGCCACACTCCTGAAGCTGCTCTAACAACTTCTTGCTCTCACATAGCCACGGCCAGCGTGGCGTTACAGATGCACTCACACCAGTTACCCAGGACCACACCTACAGAGAAAGAGCAGAAGGGTCCTCAACTGCCACTGCACAGTCTTTGGAACTGGTACATTGAGTGAAAGAAATCTTGTTCTTGTAGGGCTCATGATAAAAATCAAGAGTTTGCAAGTGCAAAACAACAAATAAGAGCCACAAGGGTAAAGCACACTGGCAGGCAGTGATGAGGGTGGGTATGCTCCCTGCAGCTTCCAGTTCAAAGGCAATGGGTTAAAATTGGCTCTGTGTTTAGAAGGACGTCAGATACCCCAGATCAGGTCCAAGATGAAGGTGGGTTGATGCCCAAGGCTAAGGCTGACTGAATTCCCCTCTCAGATCGCTGAGGCATGCAATTTGCAGATAGATTAATCAGATGAGTCTGACTTCTGTGGTTTCCTGGAGTCTCGTCTCAGGCTATAAAACCTAGCTGGGAGCAGGAAGAGACCCCAGCTGCAGCCTCACCTCCAAGGGATCCACTGAAGCCAAGAACGCTATGATGAAGCACCTGCAGAAACTCCTGCTCTCCCTCCTCCTGGTGACATGTCCCCCAGCCAAAGCCAGTAAGTAGAGCGGCCTGGAGGCGAGGAGAGGGCTGGGGAAAGAAGAGTCCCAGACAGCGCATCCTGTGCGTGTCCTCCGCTCCCCTCATCCTCAGTCCCGTCCATTGCAGATTATTCCAGGAATCGGATGGAAGGAGGAAGTGAAGCCAAGACCCACTCCACACCCTACGTGGCCTATCTGCAAGGAAAGAACAACCATTTCTGCGGAGGTTTCCTAGTGGCCCCGAACTGGGTGATGACAGCGGCTCAGTGCTTCGTGTAAGTTTTTGCTATGTTCATACAGCACCTGGCACAGCAAGATTGTCACACTGCCATAGTCGGGGTACCATCTAGTTGGAGGTCTAACAGTCTGACTGCTTCCTTCATGGCTGTGGCCAAACTCTTCCCTGGCGGGGAGTACAGGCTTCACTCCTGGGGCAGGGCAAGGCTGTGGGGGCCTCCACTGCAAGAGCAGGGCTTGTCTGCAGCTTTCTCTTGAGCCATCCTTCCCCACGTCCCTCCCCAGCTCACGTTCAGATACTTCCCTTTATTTTGTTATTCCCCCTCCATGACTCCTTTTATTCTTCCCAGACATCAACAATGAGAAGCCAGACTGGCTTCTTCCCCTGCTGACACTGACCTGCTGGCACAGCAGGGATTGCCAGTGTCAGGCTTTCCCCTTTCTGCCACAGACCTCTAAGACTGATATCAGAATTAATAATCTCTTATGAGCAAGCTGCTTGCCCAGCTCTCTTCCATCCCTCTAGCTGAAGAAACTGGGGCATGGACACGCAAGAGGTCTTTTCTAGATGTGCATGTCTCTGGGCATAGCCATGACACTCCTCGGGCCTGACAGCTTTGCCCCGGTGCCAGTAATCCAGGCTCAGGGCCAGCCCCCACATCTGAGCAGCAGAAAAGAGGATCAGCAGAACCCAGGAGCCCAGATGCCCAAGCCCCACCTGCTAGATTGAGAGGGACTCCTACCTGTACCCAGGGTGTCCCTCCTGCCCTCCAGGCAGCCCCTTCTGCAGATGATGTAGAGGCCAATAAAGATACTTTGGCCCAGAGCAGGGTCCTAATTTAGAAATCCCTCCTTGGCGCCATGGACCTCCATGAGCCTGTGAAGCCTGGACCAACAGTCCGCACATCTTAGTACACAGCAGCAGCACTGGATCAAGTCCGCTCAGCTCGAGACCCAGAGGTAAAGTAACCCTTGCAGAGCAAGCCCTGGTCTGTCAGGAACTTGCTCTGCCCCTCGGCTGGGTAGATTTATTGGCAGAGCTCCTTGCTCCCACCATTCCTCTTCAAAGCCCAGTCTGTCCTGGCCCTGGCCCTGGCAGATGTGCCCCAGTGTTACCAGGGAAGAGAGAAGAAAGCTAATGACATACTGCGCTTGATTTTACCAGACACAAGCCTCTGACTGTCATCCTCGGAGCCCACACAATCCAGAGAAGAGAGGAAAGCTGGCAAACATTTGAAGTCCAAGAGTACCACTGCCACCCAGACTTCATGAGCCCTAAGAAGGGAAATGACATCCTCTTGCTGAAGGTAACTACCTGCCTGGAGCACCTGCATGGTCCCATCGGCCCGACATGCAGGGCTGAGCTGTAACCCTGGAGCGGGAAGGGACAGCCTTCGTCACAAAGCATTTACAGACCAAGCACTTATTTCTGTATTTCCTGTCCCCTTTCCCAGCTGAAAGGCAACGCCACCAGCAACAGCTACGTTAGGACCATTTCCTTTGAGAAATCCAAAGTCCCTGGTGGGACTGTGTGCAGCATAGCCGGCTGGGGCTACAAAACACCGGCTGCCGCGTTACGCGAAACCACTGTCACCATCATCAAACAAAGGGACTGCCTTAACCACTACCCTGGGATTGCTGACAACTTGATTTGTGGCCGCAGTGGATCTGCTGGGGTACCTGAAAAGGTCAGTTTCTGACTTGGGGAGTAGAAAGCTGC